TTTTGCTGCGGTTTATGTGAGGTGCGTGGCTGTTTTCTTTTCCTCTACTTCTTTATTTCACAATCTGAAAAGCCTCGCTAAGAAAGATCTAATTAAACAAATGGAATGCGAGAGGAACCATGTAAAGATTTGAGATGCTTTATGGCGCCGTCTTCTGTGGAGGGTTCTAATTAGAACTGGCAAGAACAAGATTTATGTGTTTCAGCTTGAGATCATAAAATGGCGAACTGTGATGCACTTGAAAAAGAAGCTTCTTTAAGGGGGCGGAAGACAGCTGATACACTAAAAATGGGGTGTATTTCACATCAAAACTGCATCTGCTTGTATGGATTTGTATCATATATGGATTATCAAAATGAAGGTGGATCTTTGGTCCTGGCGAAACCTCCCTAGGGCCCAGGGAGAGCAAGCTTGGATCTTAGAGGAACCAAACAATTAATTGTGGAATATACTTGATGGCATCACCTTCTACGGAAGATTCTTATCTGGATTTGGGAAACGTCTGCTTATTAAGGGACTTAAAAGACTATTTTGAACTTAATTAAATGATAGTTGGAATACAGCCCGGAATTTTAGAGGTAAAAGCATGAAATGGAAAGGGGGCTCTCTGAGGGGATGGCGCCAAAAATGCCTGATGACAATAAGAGAAAGAAGAAAAAAATCCTCTTGCATGTTAACATAAATATGATTTGTTAAATACGAAAGTCGCATACCAGTGATTGTGATGACGATAAAGGGTTAACATCAGAATTATGATATTGGGAACAAACAACAGAGGAAATGCGGGAACAGGAATAAAAGACTTTCTCCTTCCGGCCAGAACATGGGAAGTCCTTTTTAAATTATTTAATTTGGCATGTATAATTGGCTTTTAATTTGGAATGTATAATTGGCTTTATTATTTGTGTTATGATTTGGTATGATTTGATATGTTATTAACATTATTAATTGGAATGTTATTAATGGAAAATTAATAAAAATTATTTAAAACAACATCATTACACTTTTGACCTCCTACACTTTCTGCCAGTGCCATGTGAGAGACGAGAACTGCATCTCTCTCTCACACACACACAATGCATATAATGAAACCCAAACTCCCTCATGAAATTAGAGATCTGTTGATGCACTTTTATGGCCAGGTGCTCTTAGAGCATTTAAGAAGCAAGGAACAGTCACAACAACCCAACCAGCACTGAAACTTTCACCGCACTAGGTAAGTAAAACTGCCTTTTAATATGGCAAAGATCTTCTCAAACCTTTGTACAGTGGTGCCCCGCAAGACGAATGCCTCGCAAGACGGAAAACCCGCTAGACGAAAGGGTTTTCCATTTTCAATGCGCTTCGCAGGACGAATTTCCCTATGGGCTTGCTTCGCAAGACGAAAATGTCTTGCGAGTCTTGAGATTTTTTTCCGCTCCCCCCCCTTTTTCTAAGCCGCTAAGCCTTTAATAGCCTTTTAGCAGCTAAGCCGCTAAGCCTTTAATAGCCGCTAAACCGCTAATAACGCTAATCCGCTAAGCCGCTAATAGGGTTGCTTCGCAAGACGAAAAAACCGCTAGACGAAGATACTTGCGGAACGGATTAATTTCGTCTTGCGAGGCACCACTGTACAAACAAAACCAGCTTTAAGAGCACAGGTGGGGGAACTATGACCTCCCAGATGTCGCTGAACTCCCATCAGCCCCAGCTTATGAAAGAAGCTGAAGTAGCAACACCTGGCAGGACCCTTACACCAGACCCAGTTCTCCACTCCTGAGGCATATGATATATCAGTGGGAATGTGTGATCTCAGAACTCAGAAGACCTGACCTGGAAACCCTACTTCAGCTACAACTTGTAACATTTAGATTAATAACTTTAATTACTCATCCCCTTTCCTAAAGTGAGTTTAGGAAAGTGTTTTAAAGATAGCCACTCAGGACAAGGATTGCCATTGTTTAAAATACGGAAAGCATTCAGAATAGCCATTACCTTATGAGCAAACAGAATCAGGTATATTTTCATCAAATTAGAAAGAAAAAAACATGCTACACAACTACCCACACAGAACAAAAATAATGCATTTATGGAGCCTGCAAGCTGGCTGATGTGTGCTCCGTTTAGCAACCATATGCTGTGACATACTTGCCTACTACAAAATGTTGGAAAACGTGGAGCTAGAAATGGAAAGAGAGGCGACAATCTCTGCCATTGGAACATATGCTGAGAGAAAGAATTGCCTATTTTGAGTCTCTCTTGACCCAAGAAGCATTAGTCAATATGTCTGAATGAGTCAGTTTCTTCTGCATTTCTAGAAACCATATAGGTAAGCGGAAATGTTCATTAGGTAATTAGGACAATGTGGAGCTTTCACTTACACAAGCCAAAAAGAAGAGCCATTAGGAAAGGCAGACAATGTGGAACTCTACGTACAGGAGCCAGGAGAGAAGGCTGCAAACCTTTGACACACCTGCTGCAGTGTAAGCCTCACTGAACTCTGGACTTACTCAGGACTGGCTCCATTTGACAGAGTGAAGCAGCTGCCTCAGGCAACAGATGCTGTAGGGAAGCAGAGGAAGGCAGCAGGGTATTGAGAGGGCAACAATATATGGAGGGCACCAGACTGGTTACCTCTAGTGTAAGCAACACGGAACTAGACAGTTTGTTTTGGTATAAGACAGTCTCCTAATGCGTTGACAGTGCAGTCCTTAGACATTCTTCCATAAAGAACAGCTATTGTTATTAAGCACAGCAACTCAAGCCACCTACTTATGCTCCAAAGTGAGAGAAAGTGCAGAAGAAGCGGACAGGGCAAAGATGGCTTAACAGATATCTCATTATTACTAATAAGCATTGAAATGCTCACTTCTTACTAAAAGGAAAAGCTCAATATACGGTACCTATTACTTGGTAGATCAAAAACTGGGCTTGGAATGCTCAGGGAACTGCTTCCTTCATTCTAGTACAACCTCCCCACCAGATTGTTTTTATAGATAACAGCAAGTGTAGCTTGCTTGAAGGTAACAATTTCATATGGAAATGCCCTAGGAATTCCTTTCATTTGCGGTTCCCTCATTTCCTCCTGCAGCTGACATGTTTCCATGAGAACTGCAGAGAGAAGAAAAAGTGAGCTCCAAAGGCAGCTACAGCAACCATCCCAGTGCCTATTTGTGTTTCACTTATACAACACAGGCTGAGAGAGGAAGAAAACAAATCTATAATTTACTGAATTTCAAAAACGAGTGGGTGGAAAATCTAGCTAAGTCAGACACAGGCTTGCAGTTCCCCAGGCAGAGATGTTTGCTCTGCAGAATTTGCAAGGAGGCTCTTTAGGCAAAGATTTTAAGCTCATTTGTCTTTCCCAGTAAATAGCGTGTTCTCTCCCCCCCCCCTTCTTCTGGGGATAAGCTCCAATGCTCAGTTTGTGTAATGAAAGAGCCCCAATGAGTTAAACAACTTTTGAGGAAAGGATTTGAAAAAAGGGTGGTAGGTATACGGTGAGTCTGGTGTGGTACTCCACTCCTGTAGAAGAAGAAGAAGAATAATTAAGAGGAATTGTGGCTGTTCTTTGACACTGTTGGTAAGCTAGCTAGTGCTGAATACATGATCCAGGAAGTTCTATCAGATGCTCTGGGGCCTTTGATGGCAGGGCTGGGAATTGGTTTGGTTTGGATGGTCGAAACCCCAGATACAAAATGCTGCTTGACTAATGAAGTTCATTGGCTAACCTTGATCTGTTGTCACCATAACCTACCTTAGAAGTAGCTATGAGAATATAACTCAGAGTTCCTTGGAGGAAAAGTGGGATGCAATAGTAATAAATTAAACAAAACGAAGCTTCTCTGAACTGAGCAACAGTGGATCAATATTTCTGTAAGACAACAACAAAAGGGAGCAATAAGGCTAAACAGGAGGAAGATTCAATCTAGTAAAAGCCCAGTCACTGCAAATTCATTCCCCAGCAGCTGCTACAATGATCCAAACAGCAAGCTTCAAGAGAATTTCCACGGTATCATTTACTTTTATTGATACAAGGGGAGAACCCTCTATATTCTTGATGTACACAGATGCTAACTTTGCTCTTAAAAAACAACCACCACCAATGATCACAGGTCCTGTATAGAACTGAGAATATTAATCTTATTAGTTGAATAAGCAGAGGCCAGAAGCTCAGCTGGTGTGAGCCACACAGATGAGTAACCACCAGCAACGGTTGCAGTATTTGGGTTATTTTAAGGTTTCAGCTCTTAAAAGGAGAGAGAGATACCTTTGGACTCAGCAGCAGCCACAGCTTTCTCGTTGCCCTTTCAGCAGTTGGAAGACAAGCAAGGCACACGCTTCAAAGATTCAACAAGATCTTGCACTTAAAAAAACAACCACTAGCTATTTCTATGGTCCACTTCCCCAGGGAATTATATTCTGCAGTTTCAGCAATGTGTTTACATTGTCTCTTTTCAAGTTATGCAAAGAATAGGAGGGAAGGGATATAAAACTCCAATTTATAGCCTGCCAATTGATGCATGCCCAAAGCAGTGACAGAAGAACAAGCTTTACAATCCCCTCCCTGAGGAGAAAGGAGCAGGTTACCATATGCATACATTGCAACTCACTGATTAGGTCAATCCCACCCGGGGAAGGCTATGCTTGATCTCTCTTGAAAGTTAGCTTTATTCTTTTTAAAATAACAAGACTCCCCCATGATTCTACGTTTTTTGAAGAAATCCAGTGCCTCGGAAGGAATTCAACGTAGGGCTGAGCAGGTTACTCCACCAGCGCAAGCATTTTTGCTTGCCAGATGGAAGAATCCACCCCCTCTTCCCCATCCCACCCCACATGCACTGTTCTGGGGGGTACTCCCCAATCCCCCCACAATTGTGGGTGATGGAACAAACAGGGGGAGGAGAAGAAGGAAAGCTCTATAGCACTAGAGGATGTCTTGGTCCTCATTGCTGGATGACGAATGAAAACAAATCGCACATGTGCTTAAAAAGCTAACCATCTCCAGCAAAATAAATAAATCACTTTGTTACGTTCTGTTTCAAGATGAATTGAAGGATATCATTTGAGAGCCCAGGCATTTGCTTTCTTTCCTCCAAACTATCTCTGGTTTCCGTGGGAATGGAGAAGCAGGTGCTGCTGGAGCGCTGAGGAAACACCTTGTTCTCATCTCGGTTCAAAACCAGCTGGGCCATTTGGAGACTCTTCTGTGCGTACGTCATTCCTTCTTTGCCTGCCAGCTCTGCAATTTTGACAGACAGGCACTGGGAAGCCGCTTCGTAGGCTGGACTCCCTCCAAACGGCCTCTTCTGGCAGCAAGTCCCATAAAACTTATCCAGAGATTGTCTGATGGCAGGGCCCCCTTCCTCCGTTTGCTCACATGTCCAAGACGAGGGAAGTTGACTAGGCTGAGGTAGCTCACCGTTCACACAGTTACTTGGCTCTGCCTTCTCACATTGTCTAGGCCTCCAAGCTACGCTGGTTCCAACTGTGTGCGCTATGAAGACGGCATTATCTGGGTCTGCCAGGAAAGAAATTGCAAAGACATATTATTCATACTGAAGTAAGGAAAGGGAAATACAAAAAGCTGACCAGTTTTGTTTTGTTCTTGAAATCATTTTTATTTGATTCTATAACTATAAATTTATTACAATACCAATTACATATCCATGAGATTTCTCTGAATCTCGAGACTTCCCCCCATCCCCTCCCTGGGTTAACATTTCCAATTGCATATTATTTCATAGTCTATGTTTTATATCTATCCATATCATCCGTAGTATTTGGTACATTACAAGTGAGGTTAAAATCCTGCTAATGTTTTCATCTGCTTACAGTGTTCTGCTAAATAAATTATAATTTTTTCCCCATTCTTTCTTAAAGTTTTTGTCTTCTTGGTTTCTGAGCTTTCAGGTTTGCCATTTCAGCATAGTCTTAACAGCTTGGTTTGTCATTCGTCTCTGGTAGGGGATGGAGGGGGTTCCTTAAGTGTTACTTACCCTTGCCCTGCTAAACTGGTTCAGGGATAACAGCAGTGTTATAAGATGGGACCATAGTTTGACTCCATTAAGGCACATTCATATGGTATCCAATATTAGCTCAGTTAGTAGAACATGTGACTCTTAATCTCAGGGCCGTGGGTTCTAGCCCCACATTGGGCAAAAGATTCCTGCATTGCAGGGAGTTGGACTAGAGGATCCATTCCACTCTATGATTCTATTATTTTCGTGGCACAAGGGATCAAAATGGATGCTCTGTCATCCCCATGACGGCCCCTCATCAGTGGCTCAAAATCCCACAACATTACAAAACACAACAATGCCAAAATGAAATTTTGATGTTTATCTGCTAGGAGTTCCTGTATCACTTGAATGCCGTGGCTGAAATGATGTGAGCTTCCTCGGGGAAATATGAAGCTTAGAAGTGTTTATAATTTTCTTTGAAAATGAGGATAGTTTGCTTAATAAAGCCAAACAACAAAGCAGGGTGGGAATGTTGCCAGTGGTTAGGGCTTTTAAGTTTCCTGTAAAAATGTACATTTGCAAAAGAGCAATAATTGGTCAACTACCTGGCTATATACATAATGACCCATCCGAGATGACTGTAGAGATGCATACAAACACATTATACGTACATTAACATGAGTAAGACATAAGTTATTGCTGTGCTAGATTTTATGCTATGCTGAAGCTCAAACTACATGTTATACTTGATTAGTCATTTGTTAATTTCCTCTCTGCTCTTCATCTTGTTTCAAAAAATGAAAAGTGGCTATAGGAGACTGGAATCTTCAGCATTGCACTGAGAGGGAGGAACAGCTACTAAACCCTTTCCCCTCAATTTTTTACCCCACCACCATTCAAATTTCATGGAAGATAGGGCTATCAAAGACTACTGGGACAGCCCAGTCAGATCGGTGGGGTACAATTGTCGTTGTTGTTTACTACCACTATGATAGCTGTGCTCTACCTCCACAGCTGAAGGCAGCATGGATTCTGAATACAGTGGTACCTCGGGTTACAGGCACTTCAGGTTACAGACATTTCAGGTTACAGACTCCGCTAACCCAGAAATAGTACCTCGGGTTAAGAACTTTGCTTCAGGATGAGAACAGAAATCGTGCAGCAGCGGCGCAGCAGCAGCAGCAGGAGGCCCCATTAGCTAAAGTGGTACCTCAGGTTAAGAACAGTTTCAGGTTAAGAACGGACCTACAGAACAAATTCAGTTCTTAACCCGAAGTACCACTGTACCAGATAATAGAAACCATGGGAGGGAAGAGTGCTCTTGTGCTCATGTTCTGCGCCCTGGTTTCCCACAGGCCTCTGGTGGGCTGTTGTAAGAACTGGAGGCTGAACTAGATGGCCGGATCTAGCAGGCTATTTTTATGAAATCACATTATTATTTTTAAAATCACACCCAGGGTTGTTTTTCTCTCTGTGGGAGAAAAGTTATGGGGCTATCCCATGTGCAGGAAAGCAGTTTGTGGTGTGGGGGGCACTTTTCAGAAGGCAAAGAGTTGGAAAGAGAAGCAGTGTGAAGACCCTTTCTGAAACGCAGGCCCCACCTGCATTATACATTCCAAACAGCAACATAGCACTGGAAGCAGTAATGGCTTTCCCCAGGAAATCCTGAGACCTGTCACTTGTTAACGGTGCCGAGAGTTTGTCAAAACTGGAATCTGTTAGAAGACCCCTGTACAGTGGTACCTCGGGTTAAGAACTCAATTCGTTCTGGAGGTCCGTTCTTAACCTGACACTGTTCTTAACCTGAGGTACCACTTTAGCTAATGGGGCCTCCTGCTGCCGCCACGCAATTTCTGTTCTCATCCTGAAGCAAAGTTCTTAACCCGAGGTACTATTTCTGGGTTAGCTGAGTCTGTAACCTGAAGCGTCTGTAACCTGAAGCATCTGTAACCTGAGGTACCACTATATTATGAAACAAGGGTCTCCTAACCAGCAGTGGAGCATGTCTCCATGCGTGTCTCTGATCCGGATCCGGGTGCTTTCAATGGGCCCCTGAAGGCAGTGGCGTGGCAACAAAAGGCCTACCACATTCCCACACCGGCAGCCCCCAGCAGCCTTGCAAGGCTGGGATCCGGGGAGGGCAGCACCACTGTGAGAAAAACGCAACAACCACATGCTGCACAAGTCACTGTCCTTTCCTATATACATTGGGGGAACAGGTTGGAGAGTGACCTGTGAGGATCTAACCCTAGATTCTGTCTCCACCCATTTTTTTCTGCTTAGCACATCCGCATGCCAAGTTAACCCACATTGCTAACAGACGCTATCCTTGAGGTTTCATGGGGGGGGGGGAGGGACTGCTTACGGCTTCTTGCCCTCTTCCGCCTCTACAACCTTGTGAGATTTGTGGCTGTCTGTTACATAAGCCACTTGGGCCTTTTTGTTGCTTTGTTTTAAAAAGCCAGGTCTTTTATAATTCATTGAAACTCAAAGAGTGGAACAGCACTTCATATAAATATGCAATCCTGTTCAAAGGAAACAGAGCTGTATACACAAGGCTATTAAACACAAAGCTGAGTCATCTTATGATGTGGCTATTAAAAAGTAATCACAGTATGGGCATACGCCCCACCCCACCCACTCAAGTACATTGTGCCTATTATCAAGGGGAGCTTTCTCCTTTTTATTTGCCAGCTTTCATCTTCCCTAAAGAATCCACTTCATAAGCACTTAGGAACAAGAATGTCTCTCCCTGACCTACAATACTGCATTTATAACGTGGCACAAAATGGAAAACCACCTTTTAACTATGAAAAAATTGAGTCAGTTGGGGTGGGAGAGGACTCAACAAAGTTCAGGGTGAAGTACCATACCAGGGTGAAGTACCATCATAACCATACAAGGGACTGTTGTTGTTGTTGTTGTTGTTGTTGAAAGGGAAACCAGTACTGAGCTTCTCCCATCCTAATGCCTGTGTAAAAACTAAATTACTAGCTTTCTAGAATAGAGTCAGTGTGGTATAGTGGTTAGTGTGTTGGACTAAGATCTGGGAGACCTTGGTTCAAATCCTCACTCAGCCCTGAAGCTCATTGGGTGGCCTCAGGACTAGTCACTCACTCACAGCCTAGCCAACCTCACAGGGTGTTGTGAGGATAAAATGGGGAGGAAGAGGAAACTTGTACAGCACTTTGAGCTCCTTGGAGGAAAGGTGGGATATAAATGTAATCAATGCACTTGCTCGAGAGACCATTTATTAACTTAATGGTGTTGTTGTTGTTTAGTCGTTTAGTCGTGTCCGACTCTTCATGACCCCATGGACCAGAGCACGCCAGGCACTTCTGTCTTCCACTGCCTCCCGCAGTTTGGTCAAACTCATGCCCGTAGATGCGAGAACACTGTCCAACCATCTTGTCCTCTGTCGTTCCCTTCTCCTTGTGCCCTCCATGTTTCCCAATATCAGGGTCTTTTCCAGGGAGTCTTCTCTTCTCATGAGGTGGCTAAAGTATTGGAGCCTCAGCTTCAGGATCTGTCCTTCCAGTGAGCACTCAGGGATGATTTCCTTAAGAATGGATTGGTTTGATCTTCTTGCAGTCCATGGGACTCTCAAGAGTCTCCTCCAGCACCATAATTCAAAAGCATCAATTCTTTGGCGATCAGCCTTCTTTATGGTCCAGCTCTCACTTCCATACATCACTACTGGGAAAACCATAGCTTTAACTATACGGACCTTTGTTGGCAAGGTGATGTCTCTGCTTTTTAAGATGCTGTCTAGGTTTGTCATTGCTTTTCTCCCAAGAAGCAGGCGTCTTGGTGTACCACCTCACAGTTAAAAAAAGTATACATATAAATACATTAAGAATATTTTACATGTTTCTCATGCATGCTAAGAAGTTTTCTTTTCTTTTTTGTTGGTGGGAAATTAACAGACAATTTTAAACTAGCTGAGGTTTTGACCTACTGTGCTGGCCACTGAATGTAGAAATTGCTTTATTTTCCATTTCCTTGATGTTTGACTTTGTGGATCATTATAACCTTCTGCTATAACTGTGCATTTCAATGCAACCCTTTATAGATTTCCCTCTGATTTTGAAGCATCAGATACTAATGGAGGAAGTGTGCAGCATGCTAAAGTATCATCAAGCAACGCAAGCAATGATAAGACATGTTATCCCATACTAGGCGCTCTGAATGTCCCTCTCACTTTAATCCATTGTCGTCCACTCAGAAGATCCCTTTAGAGTTGCTCATTTAGAACATCTCGTCTATGCAAACCCAGATCTTGGTGGCAATACAGTATGCACCACCCCTCCCTTATCTAAACAGAATTAATACAAATGTGCAAGTAGTACAAAGAAATTCAGGTGAGATTATCTAGTTTCTAGCTCTCTACCATCTTTGGTTACGGCTCTAAGAGCAAGTCTATACATTACAACTGCTAAACAGAATCTATTCCACATGCATGTAGAATAGTTTGTGCAAAGATTGTCCCACTGCCCTGTGTAGAGTCAATACATGATAACTCTCTACATGACAGGAAAGGAAGAAGTCTCTGTAGTTGTGGAGATCCCTATTTAGAACAGGATTACATACTATGCTTGACATACTTTTGTTTGGGCTCTGCATCCATTTAGACATTTAATTATTACTGGGAGAGGATCCAGTGCAGTTCTCAGTAGTCTAGTTCAATCTAGCAGGTAAGACAACCTTCATAATTGGAAATGGCAACAAGTAGAGGTATCAATACCCTGTTTGAATGCAGCTCCTCAACAAAGATACATTCCCTCTTAATAAGGGCTACAAGAGGACAGTAGATATTTAAAAAGGTTTTCTCCAGGAGTTTTGAGAATCTTGGCCACATCAACTCTAGATTCTTATGACGATGTAGGCAACCGCAAGGCTGCCTGTTGCAGAACCTCCCTCTAGCACTGTTTTTTGAATCATTAGAGATTCAAATAATTTGCAGTCAGAAACACATGGCCTTCAGGTGAAGCTGTTGGTCTATACTCCTGACAGTTACAACAAATGCCCTATTGAAAAACATTGACAGCTGACAATGCTCTCACAAGCATCACATAAATCAGGGGCAACAGAAGCAGGAGGAAGAGGAAGAACAGCCCCTTTCACCAGCTGAATTGCATCAAATGGGAAATGAACATAACTTCCTTACCTTTGGTGTGATTATGCAACTCAGAAAGAGATGAATTAGGTACTCTAAAGCACTCTGAACACTATGTACAGCATTGCTTAGGATTCAGTTCAAGTTTCAAGTTTATTGCGGCCAAAGCCAGTAACACTAGACACCATAAGATCAGACAACAAAAAATCAGCAACAACTTCAGAAAAGAAAAAAGGTTACACAAGAGAACTTCACAGTGTGCCATTCAACAGAAGAGATTTACGCTTCTTAATTACTAAAGTGCAAAATTTAGCCACCTCATATGATACTGAGCTTGAGGAATCTTCCAGGAGGTATTTTCGAAGAATTTCAGGGGAGGATTCCAAATAATATTGAAGGGGTATAAATTTTGATAGAAGCGGTAAAATAAGTTGAACTCGTTCTTCACTATAGAATTCGCAAGATAGAAGAATGTGTGTGACAGATTCTACCTTATTAGACATACAAGGGCAGAGACGCGCATGCATTGGAACTCGCGTGAATTTGCCGTACAGCACTGCTGAGGGCATTGTCTCAAAGCGGGCTCTAGAGAAAGCCCATCTATAGGTTTCGTTAGTGATGTTAGTTAAGTAAGGGGCAGCTGCAAAATTAGGCCAAGCTTTTAAACATCTATACGTCTCTGGGAGTAGGGCGCCTTCTTGTTGTAATTCGATATCATAAAGTCTCCGAGTGATAGTAGCTTTTGCCTTGTTCAGAGTTCCAATAAAAATATTTTCAGGGTTTAGGCCAATTTGTTTGATCTTGTTAGTTATTTGCATAAGCCAAGGAGGATAGGGAACTGCGGCCAGGAAGCAAGGTAATAGACCCTTAGGATTGTAATGGATTTTCAGCCAGAGGGATATTGCTTGTTCCCAGACTTTTAATTCCACTCTGGGCAGTCCTGCCTCTTGCCTTAAGACTGCATTAGGTGTGCACTTAGGAGTAGCAAATAATGATCTTAAGAATTTAGATTGTACTGTTTCAAGGGTCTTAAGGTTGGCAGAGGGGCTAATTTGAGAGCCATATAGAAGTTGGGCTAAAGATTTTGCCTGAAAGACTGTTAGGGCCATCGGGAGGAAGCCAGCTCCTTTCCTTCTGAATAATCTAAGGATAGCATTTGCACTTCTTTCTGCTGATATAGCTGATGTGGTCAAGTGTGTTGAGAATTTGGCATTATAAGAGAAAGTAATGCCTAAGTATTGGAAGGTCTTAGTCTGTTCAATGGCGTTTCCCTTTACGCTCCAATTATCCTTCCTAGGGGAGCGGTTAAAATGTACAATTTTGGTTTTGGCAAAGTTAATTGTTAACAGTTCAGTGTTACATTGGTCACTAAACTTTCGCTTAGGATTCAAAATTCTCTTAAGTACATTTCAGACAAAAGGAAGTTCACTTCAATGTGGCTTTGAAAGCTTCTAATTTAAGACACTGAAGTTTCAGAGAAGTTTCAATGAGGCACAAAAACAGGGAGCGACAGAGTAAAGAGAAACCCCAGAGATAAAAAGAAAGGAGAAAAAGGAAACCATGCAATACTTTTAAAAAGTGTGTCCCAGGTAACAACTTAGGGCAATAAGTGGTCCTGACTCTGACATAATTGATCAACATCACAGTCATGGAAACAACAAAGCCTCACTGAAGTTGCCTTCAAGCCAGTTGGGAATTGTTGCTGCTGCTGCTGCTAAATCCCACCACTGAAATGGTTAATACAGGAAAACTATGAACAGCAACAACAACAAGGAAAGTGTGTTTGTCTGTGTCTTGAAAGGAAGGAACAAGATATTAAAAGGGATGGCTAAATATGGGAATATATTTCTGCTACTTTCATCGTCTGAAGTACCACAACTCTTGGGAAAGTAACCAGTTTCAATCGAACATTCAGTAGCCAGATACAGTTAAAGGAGAAATACATTACAGGTAATCATTGACTTCACTCCTTGAACTTCAGCTTCAAGCTAACCTAACCTGAATATGGTAGACTGGCCTTCTGTGACTTCACAAATCCATGAAGGGGCTGTGGTTACCAAGGAAACAGTCTTTTAAGCTCTGTTATGTTCTTTGCATCGTCATACTCATTCTGGCCACTGGGAAAACATCTGGGGGGAGATGTACAGGTTCTGTGTTTAAAATATAGCATCTCAAGCGCTGCTTCATGAGCAAGAGGGTGAAAAACCAGTAGCAGGGCTGGGAGCAATTCAGTATATTGTACAGAACATGTATGACTATCTGCCTGTTAGACAAAAGTCATGAATGCATGCTCAGTGCAGTGAGTTCCTGGCCTCAGGAAATGAGGTCATTCCCTTGAGGCCAAGGTGGTTTACCTGAAGAAGCTAAGAGAGGCAGAAAGGTTGGTGGATGAGGCCTTTGGAAACTTGATAGATGTGCCCTGCTCAGCTCCTCTGCTGTCACAGCAAGTGAAGGTCTCGGGAAAGCAGGGTGTCCCTTTGAGGGAAATTGTCCCTTTGAAAGGTCTCATTCCTTGGGGGACAAGAAGGTATCTTCTCATTCCTCTGCAGATGGCTTTTGGAAAAACTGTGTTGCCAGCTACACAGATACATGCGCTCTTCACTCATTTCCCTTTGTGCTTACTGATCTAGAAACTTTGATAATAAATCTATTTTTTCCTTCCACAGCTTCCTTTTCTAACTTCACCAATTGGCACTGGCTCATGAATTACTAGCATTGCCTTACACACTCCAGTCTTATGAATGGGAAGGCTCTTCATTAAACCACTTAAGATTTTGATAATAAAAGGTCTGAACTCCGAATACAAAAGCAAACAGGTCCAAAAAGCTTTAAGACATACTTTAAAAGGCACAGAGCAAAGACATGAGGTGAGTAAAATTAATAGGGAATGTGGTCTGGGGGTAATCATCTGATATGAACTTCGAATAGAGTGATTAATGGATACACCAAAAGCTGAGTATTGTTGAAGAATAATGTTGTATTTTTAAGTTGGAAAACAGATAACCAAGCTCTGTATGTTCTTTGTTAAAAATAAACGGACCATGTTCTGCCTTCCTCCACTGCCTGAATTATAAAGCCATAACATATAGAAAGATAAGAAATGACAGTTAACAGCCTGCTTAATTGCTTCTCAGCAAAGAAAGAGGTCTCTGCAGGAAACTCAGTCGAGCCCCTTGAGCCTTCCACTCAGAATCCCGTCCTTTGTGCCACATTTTCAGAAACAAATATATTATCCTTATCTGAGAGCTGAATTTCTTCTAAAAGGCAGGAACAAAAAATGATGTCTGACCAGTAGGGTGGCCTCATGAAATAGGAGGAAGGGCAGCTGTTTAATGGGGATTCAAACCAAGACGACTGGGCTCCCTCACAGGCAAAACAGGATTCGGGCCTACATCAGATGTGGGGAAGGATATGCAGACTTCCCCAGTGGGAAACCTTTTTCTGCCCAAAAGCCACATTCCACATTCCATTCTGGGGGACAAGAGTTTGTGGTGGGCCGGGCAAGAGGCAAAAGTGGTCAGAAGCACTGATGCAAATATTACGTTTGTACAATTGTCTAGTTTCTGTGCGCACTCACACACCTCTATACATGCAAGCAAGAGACATTCTCAGAGTTTGATGATTTATGGCCAGAAAAAGACACTTCAGGAAGGTGCAAAGCGGGGGGGGGGGTGTCTGGGGAAAGTCCTGAGGACTAGATAGGGAGGCCTGGGAAGAGGGTGGGGTCTACAGTTGTATCCCCATCTCTGGAATAGGATCAAAGCAGGTGGTTGTGAACAACTCAACTCAGTTTTGAATTTGTGAATGTACGCCTGAAAAATTCTCTGATACGTAAGAGCTCTTTCAACTCTACAAAACTAGGATTCTATGAAGTGGCAACTGAATATGAAAGCCTAAATCACTTCTAGGCATGTAATCAACAGAGATCCTTTCTTCTGTGCCAGCTGCAGCGCTGTCCACCTTTCGGTCTGCACCCTCCTCTACCTCTGTGCCATTCTGTAACAGCGTTATGCAAGATCCTTTGGCAGCTTGACAAGTAAGCAATCTGGTGCCACAAACTGGCATGTGAAGCAGCTCCACATATTTACAAATGGGCCATGTTGTGTAACATGGCACAGCTAGAATCCGATGCAAAATATAGCCAGCGTGAAAGATGATTAGGACAGCCTGTGCTTCTGGGCTATGTGTTTAGCAAACACCTGCCTCCATGACTCCTGCACTGGAGACATCTGGACTGGATGACTATACACAATCTATGTAGTTCTGCCTTTAAAACAGGCCTGGGGAACCTATACCCTTGGAAATGTTGCTAGACTACAGATCCTATCATCTCTGACCACTGGCCATGCTGGCTGGCTGATTGGGAGTCCAGCAACACCTGGAGAGTTTTCCATCCCTGCCGTAAAAGATGTTTTGCTGGCAGGATGATTGTAGGAACAAGATACAGTGGTACCTCTGGTTACGTAGTTAATTTGTTCCAGAGGTCCATTCTTAATCTGAAACTGTTCTTAACCTGGAGCACTACTTTAGCTAATGGGGCCTCCCGCTGCTGCCGCGCGATTTCTGTTCTCATCCTGAAGCAAAGTTCTTAACCCGAGGTAATCTTTCTGGGTTAGCGAAGTCTGTAACCTGAAGCTTATGTAACCTGAAGCGTATGTAACCCGAGGTACCACTGTAGTCAGAACATTTCACACTTATCTTACATCAAATATGCTGGTCAGCGGTTCATTTCTGAGCTCAGTTTAAAGCGTTGGTCTTGACCTTTAGAGTCCATATAATGGCTTGAGATCAGGTGATTTAAAGGATCAGTTATACCCATGAAAACCCACCAGGAACTTCAGATGCCCTGCTTTCTGGCCCATCATTAGTTAAGATCAGATAGGCAGGTAACAGGGACAGTGGTGGTGCCATAACTGGTCTTTGAAAAATCATAGAATCATAGAACTGTAGGGTTGGAAGGGACCCTGAGGATCACCTAGTCCAACCCCCTGCATTGCAGGAATATTCAGCTGTCCCATATGGGGATCAAACCTTGGTGTTATCAGCACCATGCTCTAACCAACTGAGCTTTGCTGAAAAACATTGGTGGTGCCACAGCTGTGGGACTCCATCTCTCTAAGGAAATCCCCACTCTCTTCCCACTTTTAGAAGAGCTCTGGAAACCTTCTTGTTTCCTCGAGGTTTCTTTTAGTGAATGGTGTATTCCTCTTGCTAGTTCTCAGATCAGATGTCTGTTGGTGTGCTTTTAATCGGCGTGTGCATTTGCTGCATCATTTTACATTTATTTTATTGCTGTTGTGCTCTCTCGTGATTTTTAAAGGCAGCTTAAAATGGCTTAAATAAAGCTGGCTTAAAAATAAAATGTTCGGGCTTAGGCTGCAATCTTATACCCACTTAGCTGCGGATAACCCCACTAAACTCAATGGGACTTACTCCTGAGTAGACATGTCTAGAATTCTAGTCAGCTCTCCCTCCCTCCTAATAAAATGTGTTTGGAAAAGTGTTCAGGGGGGCCTGTGTGGTATCCATGGGCACCACTGTGCCCACTACTGCCTCCCTTGGCTCAGCCTCTCCTACACTGAACATGTCCTCTTAAATATGTCCATTTATTGAATACCCGCACTTCCAACTCTTCTGAACAGAGGAAAAGTGGGAATCACTTCTCTCTGTGGGCAAGTGAAGTGGTATCTGATGTAGGTATCTTTTTCCTGTTGATGGGGGCTGATGGGGCAGGAATCTATGCCTACACCATTTTGTGGTGTCATCTATTTGTTGATTTGTGAATCACCTTCCACACATATATCCCAAGGTGATTTACAGACATATCCTTAAAATTAGTTAAAGTAATGTTAAAACGAGTACAAGTTTATAAATTTTAAAACTGTAAAAAATGAACACTTAAGGTGGGCACAGAGACATCACCTTGTCAACAAAGGTCCGTACAGTTAAAGCTATGGTTTTCCCAGTAGTGATGTATGGAAGTGAGAGCTGGACCATAAAGAAGGCTGATCGCCAAAGAATTGATGCTTTTGAATTATGGTGTTGGAGGAGACTCTTGAGAGGCCCATGGACTGCAAGAAGATCAAACCTATCCATTCTGAAGGAAATCAGCCCTGAGTGCTCACTGGAAGGACAGATCCTGAAGCTGAGGCTCCAATACTTTGGCCACCTCATGAGAAGAGAAGACTCCTTGGAAAAGACCCTGATGTTGGGAAAGATTGAGGGCACAAGGAGAAGGGAACGACAGAGGACGAGATGGTTGGACAGTGTTCTCAAAGCTACGGACATGAGTTTGACCAAACTGCGGGAGGCAGTGGAAGACTGGCGTGCTCTGGTCCATGGGGTCACGAAGAGTCGGACACGACTAAACAACTAAACAACAACAAGGTTGGCACATTTTCATCTAGATGGAAAGATTTGTCAAAACAAAAATGTCTTCAATGGTTTTCATAAAGTACTGTTGGTTTTCTGCTCTTTTGTATGCGGCAGCCATTTTTGTACTATGCCACACCCCCATGGCAGTCATTTTGTGCTATTCCATGTCCTGGTGGCAGCCACTTTCTGAGTGGTGCCCACATGACTTTCTCAAAATTCCAGATGAAGCTACTGACCCTCAAAAGGCTGGCTAGCTCCTTTGAACTCTACTTCCTTCTCTACTTTGAACTCTACTTCCTTTTCCCCCTCTACACACAGAGACCTCCAGCAATTCTTTTGATCACCTAGGCTAGCCTATATCGCTCTGCACTCTTAAAAAACCACACACAAAACACTTTCTTCTTGCTTAGTGCATGCTCAGATGCCAACAGAACAAATGACTGAACAGTAACTTCAATGTTCAAAAAAAGGACCAGTTTGAGACAACTCTTCCAACATATTTCAAAACATTATTAAGTTGTTAACTTTCATTCTTATTTTCTGTCTCCCAAGCTGCTAATAGGGCTCTGGGTTGCTTTTTTTCCTGTCTTCTGAACTGAAGCAAATTTATGCAGTTTTTCTTCTTTTCAGACTAAAAAGGATGAGAACATAAAAAATAATTGGACCATAGATACCAATCAGTCTCTGAAAGGATAACTTGCTACTAAAGAAAAAATATGTAAAGTAAAATCAGAAAGAAAGAAAAAAGGAAGCAGATAAAAATGTATAGTGTAAGACAATGAAACAAAAACTGAGATTTGTTTATTCAGATAATCCTTTTGGGTTTGCGCTTTAAAGGTTTTAAGCATGCTAACTGGCTGGCAGATTCTACTGAAGCAGGTTATGGGCACAAAATTTTATTAAAATAAGACTGCTCATAAACAGGGCAGACGTAACACTAGGAAGAAGGGCTGAAGACTGATGCCACATGTTTTCCCAGTTATCCTTTTCTCCAACAGCACAGATATCACAAAGCATTATAGTAATTTAAGGTTCCAGAATCCACACCACAGTTTGTGTGTGTTGTGCAGCTGTACAGCCACCAAGTAGGATTTGTAGGCCTGTTGCAACCTAAACTCAGCCATTGTCACAACAGGCTGCTATACCGTAGTTTAAAAAATGGAATGCTCCTGAATCTGCATGGTGGGTCAGCATCCTGACCTAAGGTGGGTTGCAACAACAGCACTACCACTACACAAAGATATGGTTTAAAAGGTTGAGAAATGGGCCCCCAAATGCATGTTTGGATTAAAAGTGCGTCCCAGGTCAGAAAACCATTGAAGGCTACTGCTCTAGATCAGCCTTTCCTAACCTGGTGCCCTCAATGTGTTTTGGATCACAAATGCTATCATCTCTGACCAATTACCAGGAGATGGGAAACTTCTGGAGGGCACTAGGTTGGAGACATCTCCTGGTCCACCCAGAGCTGAAGAACTGCAGTGGTGACAAGGACAATGAGCAAGATCCTGCTCCCCCTTTGCACATTTGACTTACAGAGCTTCCAAATGGGTGAAAGTGATGAGGCTGAAGCTGATTACTATCTCTCAACACTGTATTGCTGGCTCCCAGTTCCTTACTCAAGAGTTGTATGAGCATCCTGAATAAGGAACTGATGTCCATGTGCTTCTGCATCCCAAAATAAGTTGTGGGCCACGCCATATCATACATCTCCATGACTGGCTGGGAACAAGGAAAATGAACTGAGAGCTAGTCACCTGTTTCAACCTTGGGTGAAAGGGGCTAACTGAATTCTTTTGGCTTAAATTCCCCCGTATTCGGTAGTTACAACAGTTTATGGTGTCAAATTATTTTCATGGACTAATATTTTAACAGAAAGGGGTGATGGGAGGTATGTGTGCACTTTGCTGTTGAAGGCGTGAAAACAGTCAAATGTCTTCAAAGATAGCTTCTTGAATAATGAAAAGGATTTGACATGCTTAAATGAAGCCATAGGGATGAAAAGCACTTATCCTGAACACCCAGAGCCAATTAAGTTGACAAGATACAAGGGTGGAGACTCTAATAAGCTTCTCCACAATGTTCTTCTTAGTCCACAGGTCCAAAAAATGGCACCATTGGGACTATCTGGAAGGATTAAAAATGGTAGCCTGTTTTTGACCCCTAGTAAAATTAGCAGTCGTCATTGCTATCCATAATGAGTAGTTTTATCTGGGAAAAACACATTCACTGTGTGTGTGGTAAAAGAAAGTAAAAAATAGAAATAGTCAATGTGGAGCTATACACTTGACACTTTTTGCCCAATCAGAGCCCAGCTAGACTAGAAAAGAACCACAATATACTGAAATGTGCCTATCCTTTTAAAGAGTGGGCTTAGCCTACTAAACTATTATAATCTCGGGGTCTGTGTATTTAACCTTTTATTTGTACTTGGTTAACAAAACAATAGACACAACAAGTAACTTTCAACATTATAACATTTAAACCAAATGACTGCACTATAGGACCAAGTGAACAGTTACACTAGCACAACAACTTTTACCTGCACAATGTAACTTCCCCACCCATCCCTCTCCTGTGCGCCCCTTAAACCTGCTACACAGGGGTTCCCCTAACCATCTGCAGCAGACTTAAGGTGTGTGGGGCTCACACAGGGAGAGGAGAGGGCAAGGAAGTTACACTGTGCAGGTAAACATCATTGTGCTTGTGTAAATGTTTAGTTGGATACCACTCAGTGTGTATGTGCGTGTGTCGATCACGCATTATTACAGCAACTCCACAATGCTTCCAATTTGTTTACCTTTTGGCATGTATTCGTAATGCAAAGGACCACGAGCATCACCAGTTTTTCTGTGAAATGGGTAGCGCTCACGACAGCTTCTTCCAAATGTGACTCTGGGCTTGGAAAGGTTGGAAAGCCCTGCTTTAAATCTATACTAAGCCAAGTTAACAGCCTTTGTTCCACTATAGTGCTATGAAGAAGGCTGAATACTTGCTAGAAGTTCAAAGGCCCATTTAAAAGTCAGGATTCACACTACAAAGGGACCTTGACAAGATGACAATTTTACTTATTTTTTATTGCTCTTTTTGTCCTTTGTTTTATCGCTTGGGTTTTGTTTGTTTTTTAATCCTTGATTCTGGCTTTTATCTACTATATGTTTTATATACACAATATTTTCAGTGTTTATATTTGCAAACGAGACATGTTTCATAATCTGTCTTTGACCTGGCCATTATAGAAGATAGGCCAGAGCAGAGCTTTCTACACTTTTCATGTTGGTGACACACCTTTTAGACATGCAGCATTTTGCAACACAGTAATTCAGTTTTACGAGCAAACCGTAGGTTAAATTAACCCCTTTCCAGCCACCGGCTGCCGACACACTAACCTTGTAAATCTCTGGGCTAGAGTATGTGTAAAGTCAGCATATGTAGAAGTCGAAAGTACAAAACATGATTTACATAGGCCCATCAAGTCTGAATTGTGTATGTTTATCTAAAATTCTGCCATAAATAGGAAAGGATATATTAAAAAAATGATCTTGTTCCCTTCTGATGAAAGCCAAAGGAAGTAGCTCCAGGATGAGGGCTTTTGAGAAGCCACCATTGGCACCTCTTCACAACAAAGGCTTCCATGTCCCATGCAAATGAGGATTTTCCCAATTCTTCAAAAGAGGCATTCCAGGGGATGAATAATCTACACAGGGCTTTGTAAATTAGGAAAGCCACTCGCACCTTGTTGAAATGTCCTGCACAGAATGCTGACAATAAGGAGTCTTTAAAAGGGTGGATGGCTTTAGCAATCAGAACACTGCCTGCCAGTCTAAACTGCCTACATGAAATTCACCCTAGTCAAAAAGGTAGCAATTAATAATTGAACAAGTTTCATTTCCATAACTATCTTTAATACAGCATATTTACAATCCCATCTGTCACAATTATAAACTGGTAAAAGAGCACAGTTTAGGAACAGATGCTTCTGTGAATAAATAAAAAGTTATTTAGCAGGGGAAACAAGGTGGGGTTTACTCCCTGCGGACACATTAACAACCTAATCATCACCACAGTATAAAACAGAGAATTTATGGCCTAGCCTCTGTTTCCATATTAACCACAGGGACATGTTAGAAACCCTCCATCACTTTCTGAACTCAGCTTTTGGAAAGCCATCACTAGAACTAAAGTGAGATGGGCCAGTCCTAATATTAGGCAGAATGAGAGGCTGCCTCAGGTGGTAGATGCTGGGGAGCAGGGAAGAGGGGGGCAAGAATGAATACTGCCATTGTTGCACACAAGGAGCAAATTGGAACACCCAACCACTGCCCATGACCACAGACCCAATGAGCCAATGAGATTCTGTATCACACTGAGGTATCTCTCCTCTTGTAGATCAGGCAGAGCTATCACTAGCCGGAAGCTGACCCAGGAGTTCTGGAAACTGTGGTGTAAATTGGAGGCTTACAACCAAAGGTCTGGTTTGCCTTCTTTCCTTCGGGGTTCTGTAGCTTCCTAATCTTAAAATGGCATATTAACAGTAAGCAGGGGTCATACAAAAAGGTGGGAGAGAAAGGATAATCCAAACTGACCCTCAACGTGGCTGGCTGGACGATTAAACCAGAGCGGTCCTAGTTCACATGGGAGGGTTATGGGTGCAGTGTAGGGAAGAAGAGCTGTTTCCTGCTACTTCAGCAGTGCCTCGTGTGAAATATAGGAACCAGAGCTCCTTGCCTTTCTGTGAAAACTATGCAGCTGCATCTCTCTACTAATGTGAAAAACAGCCACCGCAAAAACATGTTTCTCTCTCACCTCCACCCCACCTCCTGACCACTCAACAAAATAGAAAAGACTAGTGTGTTTTCCAACATTAACAGCCTAGGGATAGGAAAGGAGGTGATTGAAAGAAATTGCATTACAGAGGCAGGTAAATTATATTAGTCAGAGCAGGCTACCCAGCAAGAAACACTTTAGGCAGTGATAAACATCAAGGCATATTAAATTGTCCTTTAAAAAACCAGGTCATTTGTAATTGTTAAAACAAACAAAGAAAAGGAGTGCAGAGCTTTTAATTGCTTTTGCCACAGATGCCAAGCAAACCCATCTTATCACGCTTATCTTTAAGAGAGGTAATTAGTTTCCAGCACATGTACCTGTGTAAGCAACATCGTGACACTGTCTCCTTCCCCCCCCCCAAAAAATTTAATATGCCCTTGTTTTAATAAAGACCATCTGCACAATGGTAGATGCATCAAAAATTACAGATCCCCAGACAAGCCCTGCTCAGGCAGAATGCTAAATTTAATTAAACTTTCCGTATCAGTTGAGATTTATTTTTGTAAGGCAGGGTGGCTCGCTGTTGCTACGTATCCCACACAGTTACACATCGCTAGTTGTTCCTTTTTCTCCCTTTTCTTTAATAAAAGTTCGCTATCTGGAAACATTTTCATTTCCTCTTCCTCACATGGTTTGGGCATAAAATATTAAAGGAAACAGATGAACAGATTCCTGTTTCCCAAAGTGAAAGGGATCAAATTAAGTAGGCATTTGCATGGTGAGAAGCTGCATAAAAAATTCACAAGTTTCTAGTACGTTTGGAGGGTGGGTTCACATGACCCCATTTTTTATTTACTTACTTATTTATTACATTTATACCCCATCTTTCCTCCAAGGAGCTCAAGGTGGCCACATGGTTCTCTCCCTCCCTGTTTAAGCCTCACAACAATGCTGTGGCAGGTCAGGTTGTGAGAGACTGCAACCAGCCAAAGGTCACCCAACAAGTTTTCCCATGCAACAACAGCTTCACCGTGTGCCTGGTTATTTGCATATTTTCAGGTCCTGTCAGCTGTGGCATCCTTCAAAACAAAGCCTGATCGTGTACTCACTTTCAGTGCAAAAACTACTGCAGAGCTGTCATGACTGTGGAAGCCCAGCAGTGAACAATAAATGGAGGCTGCAATGCCACCAGCTGAACAACCAGATCAGGTTCCTGGCTGTGAGCCTGATGTTGCTGACCAGGGACCCACTGAAAGTAGGAAGCTGCTGGGACTGATCCTAGAATTCCATGGTCCATAGAGCCAGAACAGAGACTCCTACAGGATCCTTCCTGTGGGCCCAAGGCCTCCCATAACTAGCTCACCAGCCTAAATGTCACAGACTAGGTGGAAGGCCACCGACAACAGCAGAAGTGTGAATCTTCAGGCCAGGCAACTGGCCCTTAAAGAATCTGTAGCTCTCCAACAAAGGGGGCGGATGCAGTGCCCTCCAAAAGTTGCTAGACTACAACTCTCAGCAACTCCAATGGTGAGGGAGAATGGGAGCTGAACTCTGACAACATACCGGAGGGCACCATGTTGGCTACCCTTGGGGCAGAGCACAGGAGCGGTGGACTGAAGAAAAACGTAGTTCACTTTCAACCCATGTTGGAGCAAGTTGATCAATAGGAGCTCTCTGTGGTGCTGTGACAACCAAACTGCCTCATCCTGCAGGCACAGAACCAGAGCAGGATAGCTACAAGGCAGGGGACCAGAACAGCAACAACAAAGACACACCACACACCCTTTGCACTGGAGTCACTGCCAATATAGAACCTGAGCAATCATGTACCAATATTGCAACTGAGAAATGTTATGCCTTGCAGTGGGACCTGTTTAAGCTCTCTCTGTTCAGACTTTACAGTCACCTGCACAAACAAGATCTCTTGTAGGATAATCCAGCAAGAGGGTTGCACTCAACCACCATGGAGCATCATAAGAGAAAGAAATAAAAGCAGAAAAGATCAACAAGGCAATACAAAGGTTGATTTAGTGTGGAAAATAACTCTTAATAAGTCCAGTGCATTTCAACTTCTTGTTGCAAATGTCTGAATGAATCCCTATACAGGGCCATCTTAAGCATATCCGGCGCCGTGATGCAAAGATCCCTCCAGTGCCCCCCCCGGCAACTCCAAAACAAGGGATGGGGTGGTGGGAAATGTCCTCTGCTTCCCCCACCGCTTCGATCCTCGGCGTGGTGGCGGCAATCAAGCAGGAAAACGTGTTGGCGGACATGCTCTCCGGCATTGGGACGCCCAAGAAGGCAGCCCGGGAAGGCTGCGCGCCGCCTTTCGCCAGGAAGCAGGAGGAGGACAACAACCCCGTCTTTAGCAGATGCAGAGGCGTGCAGCTTCCATCCTAAGCCTCTGCGGGGATCGCTTTCCTCCTGCAGAGACTTAGGAAGGAAGCTGCATGACCACCAGGCATACAGTTGGTGGGGTGCAGCTGGCGGGCATGCAGGGAAAGGGGAGGCTGCCGGCAAAGCTATGCAGCTCCCCCGTTCACTAGGACGCCCTGAGAGGCCGGCGCCCTGGCACACTGAAGAAGAAGAGTTTGGATTTGATATCCCGCTTTATCACTACCCAAAGTAGTCTCAAAGCGGCTAACATTCTGCTTTCCCTTCCTCCCCCACAACAAACACTCTGTGAGGTGAGTGGGGCTGAGAGACTTCAGAGAAGTATGACTAGCCCAAGGTCACCCAGCAGCTGCATGTGGAGGAGCGGAGACACGAACCTGGTTCCCCAGATTACGAATCTACTGCTCTTAACCACTACACCACACTAAGACCCATGGGAAAGACGGCTCTGTCCCTATAGCATCTCCACTCACTCAAATTCCCCCAAACACCCTTTTCCTTTTCCTAGAGAGGAGCAAATCTTTGGGCAGAAAAGCAACAGGAGCTGTTCCAAGTATTTCCCAATATATTGCAGTCTAGCAAATGAAGACTCTGTGTAAAGAAGATTGTAATATAAGACGTCCAAACTCAAAATGCAAAAGCAAAGAGCTAAGAAGAAGATTAGCAACACCAGCCTTTGTTACCCTGGTGCCCTCCAGGTGTTTTGGAATACAAATCCCATCAAATTCCCACTCACCCAACATAACCATGCTCCCATTAGCCCCATCATCAGACAGTTGTACTGGCTGAAGCTGATGGGAATTGTAATCCAAAACATCCAATGGGCACCAGATTGGCAAAGGCTGAACTACATGTAGCTCAAAGTTCCCTCCACATAAAGGACTGGTAATGATTAAGAGCTCCAAGCACAGACAAATCCACAAGATAATGATATAGCATGAAAACTGAGAAGGAAAACATGCCCTTCAGAACCAGATTTGAAAAGACTGAAATCATGGACATGCGGAATCCAAGGAGACGTGGCAGTACATGTTAGCCAGTGGGTGAAGAACACTAATTGCCAAATCCTTCTCAACTTGCCAACCCAGCAAGGAAGAGAAGCAGACCTTTCGCAGTTCCGTTTTTTGGCAGGTACAAAATCTAAGAGCTTGAAATGTTCTCTTGAGGAACAGAGATCAGAGGAGCATTTCAAAATATACACCCAGAAAATGATTCCTTACTTGAGAAGGCAACAGTCAGGCAAAACAAAAGGGAAAATGAAGTAAGCAAGGCACAGATTGTTCTGCTCTTGACCCCACTGCATTTTTAAGCTCCAGGTACACAACTCCAAGCAGGGGAAGCCAGAGTTCTGTTCGGTTAGAAATGTATGCAGAATTGCAGACTATTTTATGGCCCTCAGATAATCTGCACTTCATTTATTTAAGAGCATCAACAGTTTCTCACCTCCCAGATAGGTGATCTTAAGAACTAACTCAGAAGCCAGAGAATTATTTCCATCTAGAAGATGAACTAAGGCAAGAGGGACATATGTCTGTTTCTTGCATCTTCAAAACACTCACACCGTGTTTGTAGCTGGGAAATGAATGTGAAATACCTCTGACAGCCAGACTCCTGGGAGCTCTGTGCCTGATGAATATACAGTGGTGCCTCACAAGACGAAATTAATTCGTTCCGCGAGTTTTTTCGTCTAGCGAATTTTTCGTCTTGCGAAGCACGGTGTCGGAAAAGTTTTGGAAAAGCTTCAAAAATCGCAAAAAACCTCAAAAAAGGCTACCACACCGCGTTCTATGAGTTGCTCCTCGAGCCGCAACTGTATTAATGGTGTTAAGAAAAAGGAAACAAACTTGCAAAAAACGCAAGACGTTTTCGTCTTGCGAAGCAAGCCCATAGGGAAATTCGTCTTGCGAAGCAGCTCAAAAACCGCAAAACCCTTTCGTCTAGCGAGTTTTTCGTCTTGCGAGGCATTTGTCTTGCGGGGCACCACTGTATTTTGAGTGTCAGCTACCTTTGTGTGTAAACCCTGTGGTGGGATCCAGAGTCCTTCTCTATTTCCACTGGCATCTAGGACTTAGGAAGCCACCCACCAGATACCACACTTGGACCACACTGTTGGAGCTAGGCTTCCGTGGCCTGTGGCTGTGTTGGATTGGCCTTGGGAAAACAGCACTCCCTTCACATTTTAAATATCTTCCCCATACATGAGGAAACTGTAGACCAGGATAGCCAACATGGTGCCCTCCAGTTGTTGTTGGAGTGTGTCAAGGGTGCTCACCAGCCAAAGGAGCACACATGACAGATAGAGAATTCTTCATTGTCAAAGTGGACACTTACAGTCATTTCTATAGCTCCAAATATTCACCAACACCAGTCTAGTATCTATTCTGCAGGTCTGCACTCTATGAAGCAGTTGCAAGAACAAGGGGTCACTCCCCCCTTCACCAGTTTCTGTACCTTCTCCAGATGAGCTGTGCACACACAGCCAGAGACTACACCTGCGTGGAACCTTCCTCTGCTCTTTCCTCTTCAACTCCCTTTCATTCTGCGAGACAGTGGTGCAGGGAGAGCCCTTCTGTTGCTCGACCTGCTTCTTCTTCCTCTTCCACACCTGTGCTGTGTTCCACCCTCCAGCTCGGAAGCTTTCCCTGCCTCCAGCTCTTGCCTCCTTGCTGGTAGAGTTCTCCACAAATCACTGGCCCCCTCTCCTGAGTCCAACTCCAGCCCCACTTCACCCTGTGCTCACTTGTCAGCGTGCTGCTAGTCCCTGACAGACTCTAACACCTATCACCTTCAGCAACCACAGCCAGGGATGATGGGATTTGTTGGTCTAGAGCAGCCTTTCTCGACCAGGGGTTCCCATATGTTGTTGAACTACCACTCCCATCATCCCTGACTGCCGCACCTGCTGGCTATGGATGATGGAAGTTGTAGTTCAACAACATTAGGGACCAACAGTTGAGACAGGCTGATTGATGTAGAGTAAGGCCCTGTGTTGACTGCTCTTACTCAACTTTCATCATCCCTGAACATTGGTCATACTTGCTGGGGTTGAGAGGAGTTACAGTGCATCATCTATCTGATGGATCCCCCTGTTAACTATCTCTCTAGACTGCATGCATAAAACATGCAGGAGGGTCTTAGGACCTATAGAGTCAACACAATACAAATTCCGCACCATCACATCCCCACTCTATTGCTATCACATTATAATGATTAAAGGGTGCCTCCTAGGCTGTTTATGCACTTCTGCGTGGTCCTCGTACTAATTCAACCACAGTACGAGCTCTAGAGTAATACAGCCTTACAGCTACTGTACAGCAACTGTTCTACTGGGGTTTTAACTCACTGAAACCTGAAACAGCAAATCATCATGCAGCGGAGCTGCTCATTTTTCGTGAAGCCTACAAGACAATCAATCTGCGACAGGCTATATGCATCGCTGGCACAGCATCTTTATTCAGAAAATAAATCTGGCATCTTTGTGTGAGCTGACAACTGAATCCAATGCCAAAATCAAGCAGCATCGACAAAGCAGCCTAGCTTCATGAGTATCAACTCTGCTGTGAAGCACCTGAGAAGTGTTTTCACCTCTCCTGGGCTCAGAAAGGAGGGAAATGTTTGGTCCCATAACTGGGAGGAGAAAACACTTCAAACACCACCAGAATGAATGTACTAGCAGCTGCCTCACCTCTGGAATATGCCTAGTTATCATAGAGGTGATAAACCAAATCTGAGCTGCACTATTTCAGATTGCTCACAAGACTGAATGCCCCTCCAAATGAAAAGTTCCCTCCACAGAGAAAAATAGCTTGTGAAGTAAGGTTCTCATCTAGTCTTCTTCCTGACATGCTAGTTTTGCGAGGTGGGGGAATGGCATCTTTTTGCATGATGTATGTTCAGTTACATGTGCCCCTGCCTGCAAGTAATGCAGCCAGACCCATGTTGACCACCTCAGCAGCATCGGTTCATACGCACGACATACAAATTTAATAAATAAAACAATAAATAATGTATTAATTTAGAGTCAATGAGCAGCATGCTGGTGCAGACTGGTCAATAGAACCTGCCCCCCTGAACTAGCAAGTCCCCACACACCATCACTGTCAATCATCTGGATGAACCCAGCACCAACTCAGATCTTGACCTCTCTCTAACATGCAAGCACAGCAACCACCTGCCTGTCCACAGGGAATCTGATCAAAACAATCCGACCAAAATGAGGCCAATCTTTAATTAACAGAAGTAGTACACACATAAGCTGCCTGTTACTGAATTCGCAGATTCCTTATAACAAGAAAGGTTCTTAGGATGCCCAAAGCCCCATGTTTAAAACAAAAGACTCTACTGACTCCTGTTTTGGCAATAAGTGTATCAGAACAGGTTGGAGAATTTTAGAATAGTGTCAAGAGAATGGGTGACAAAAGGTATTGAAAGCTATGTTCACTAGATCCATCATAGGGTGCAAGGAGGTCTTAAACCAGGAGTTTTGCCAGCCTGGCTCCAGCAGGTAACTTCCTGTGCCACTAGGTAGAATCTCTGCTGAAAGAACAGCAGACTGAACTCTGCTATCCAGAAATGCCACCTGGGTGGTTATAATAAATGCTGCCACCTGACTTAGCACCCAGTCACATGAATCAAGAGAACCCGGTCCTATAAAGCCACACCTGCAAGGCCTGCTCTTCAGTCTGAGCAACTTGTATCTCAGCAAGAGAGCCCTTCCAGACCACTTTCTCTCTACCCTGCCACGTGCTCTGCTTCTGACAAATGCATTAAGCCACCCACTTGCCTCTTGGCTCATGACTGGCTCCCAGGGATGGGAGTGAGCACTGATCCGAACATCATTCCTTAACCTATTGTGGGAAAGCAACCTCCAGCAGCCCTGACAAATATTTATCAATGCCACAAGCATGCTTCTAAATTTATTTTTGAAGGGCCAGAAAGCTCACTTTTTAAATCAAGAGTCAGAGGAATTCAAATTCCTAGTGATGTTCGTTAACGAGACAACCAAACGCTACATATTTGAGAAATGTGTTGTTGCAAATGCAAGTCTACTGAGACTTGTGTGTGTGCTTCTACATGAACCACTTTGAGGTTGTTGGGTGGTTGTTGTTTTTACAATCAAGCGGTTTATAAATCTGACGAAAGAAGTAAGTGTGGCGAACCTGTGACTCTCCCAGATGCCGTTGGACTCCAACTCCCATCATCCTCTGCTAGAATGGCCAAAGGTCAGGGATGATGAGAGTTGTAGTCCAGCAACATTTGGAGGACCACAGAGTCTCCACCCATGTCTATACAATAGTTTAAAAGAGTGTGTGCCCTATTTCATTGTGCCACTTCATTTATGGTATTTTGTTTACTGTGACACTTGTTAATGAGGGGGTTTGGGGAGGGGGTAAACCTACTTCATTAGATGTATGTGCACTTATCCTTTTAAAAAATATGCATTTCAATCAAAGTATCTGGGTTTTAGCTACCCTATAAAGTTACCAACAGTAAATGAGAGGATTCATGTACCTCTAGTTAGAGCGAACAAATACAAATACTGTATATCCTCTCTCAAACCTCAGAAAAAGGCCAACATATCATTAGCAGGGGCAAAAGATAGCAAGAGCATGACATCCGTGCACGTCCCTTGCAACCCATACTACCTGCTAGGCTTTGGATTTATTTTGCTTTGGAAATGTTACAATAAAGCATACGGCTTCTGCTACAACAGAATGACATTTGACATGGGCTTAGCTTTATAGATTAGAATTTAATTTCCTGTTTTGCTTCTCTGCTCTCTGTATTTCCACTCTTGCCCACAGCAATATATAAAGTTCAGTCCTCCTGAAGGATAAGATACCGCGCTTGGGAAAGGAACCAACACAGGTATCGGTGAGATTTCCTCCCCCGCAAGAACATCCTGTGTTCATCTTCAGATTCTAATCTTGTGAACTAAACTATGGTGCTTCTTTTAAATTCCAGCTCAAATTAGATCCCAAGGGTGGCAGTGGGGTGGGGGTGTGGAGAGAGCAACCTAGAATGTCTACGGCTTAAGAAAGACGTTTTCTAACCGTCTCAAAAGCACTCTCGAGAAAATGAAACCTAAGCTGCCTAACTGTAATTAAGTTTGAAAGTGAATATGGGAAAGGCAAGCAATTTATCTGCTAGCTCTGGTTCTTGTCCTGGGCACAGAGTCAAGGGAGTCAAAGGTAAGTGTTTGAAGGTAAGTCAAATCCTCTGTCCATCTGGCTCAGTCTTGTCTACTCCGGCCAGGCTGGTTTATGAATAAGTTTTGCAGCAGTGATGGGTCACAAAACCCACCGAACGAGGCAGCTCCACTTATGAGCAGCACGTCCTGTTTTGCCACTTGAAGTGCTGTCTACTCTGTTAAGTACCACAGGAGTCCATGGCCATTTTACACTAAACGATTACAACCCAAAGCACCAAGACTTTTCCATTTAAAGCCTTTTCCAATATAACCTAACTGCTAATGCATGGCTTTGTCCTCCAGAAGCAAATATGCTTTCGGGCCTGTGGGATGAAATTAAACAGAAAAAAATGAAATAAAAACTTATGAAGCTGAACCACAATGGGAACATCTTGCTGCACAAATGGATAAAAGCAAACTTGTGGTGGTGAGGAATTCTTTCCCTTACCAATCATGCACATATTCCCTTATTTAAGGAACATTTGAATCCCTGACCTTTAAATATATGTCTCAAGGATTGAGGTTTTAGTTCCAGCCTATGCTATTCAGCTAGGGATGCGGGTGGTGCTGTGGGTTAAACCACAGAGCCTAGGACTTGCTGATCAGAAGGTCGGTGGTTCAAATCCCCGCAACAGGGTGCACTCCCGCTGCTTGGTCGCTGCTCCTGCCAACCTAGCAGTTCGAATGCATGTCAAAGTGCAAGTAGATAAATAGGTACTGCTCCGGCGGGAAGGTAATCGGCATTTCCGTGCGATGCTCAGGTTCGGCAGAGTCATGCTGGCCACATGACCCGGAAGCTGTTTGCCGGCTCCCTCGGCCAATAAAGCGAGATGAGCGCCGCAACCCCAGAGTCGGCCATGTCTGGTCCTAATGGTCAGGGGTCCCTTTAACTTTACCTTTTATGCTATTCAGCTAGAAACAGCTCCTTTTAGAAGCTGTAGCACTGCAGCTGCCTGCCATGTGGCTCTCATCCTACTCCGCCATGGTAAGATTCTAGTCCTCACTATTGTGGGGTTGACTCCAAACTTTGAGAAATAATGGTGTATAAAGGAGTAAAAGGAAGAAGCACCTCATTACATATGAGAGGACGTTTTAAGACTGTGTGAATGGGGAAAGGGAAATGGAGCCGCTGGAGATGTCAGAGAGGCAGCCACACTGAACGATCCTGAAGGAAGCTTACAAGACTTGCCTGCCCTTTCCCCACTATTATGATGAACAAGGCTTCCACTTTTTCAAAGACACATCAAGAACTCAAAAGCTGTGATGGTATTAATCTCCATTAATTATTTTAATAAGCCCAATTCACATGTGCATTTTCAAGTGAGAACAGTTTCTCACTTCAAATGTCAACATTGGCTGCTCATTATGAGCACTAACGTCTCTATGACCTTGGGAGTGAAGAGGGGGAATCCATCCCCTGCCCTGAATGAACTATAATACCCAGATTTCCATTTTTAAAAGTAAGTATTTTTGTAGAAGGGACGTGGGTGGCGCTGTGGGTTAAACCATAGAGCCTAGGACTTGCCGATCAGAAGGTCAGTGGTTCGAATCCCCATGATGGGGTGCGCTCCCGTTGTTCAGTCCCTGCTCCTGCCAACCTAGCAGTTCGAAAGCACGTCAAAGTGCAAGTAGATAAATAGGTACCGCTCTGGCGGGAAGGTAAACGGCTCCCTCGGCCAATAAAGTGAGATGAGCGCCGCAACCCCAGAGTCGGTCACGACTGGACCTAATGGTCAGGGGTCCCTTTACCTTACCTTTATCCCTCATCTGTATTTTTTAAATATAAAGCAAGGGTAGTGTTGCATCTGGAAACCAACAGTTTAGGAAGCATGAGATGCAGAGCAGTACCTTATGATAAGGTGTATAAATTGGGTCTTCCCACACCAAAGTATGAAAAAAAAAAATCAGGTTATTGCAAAAACCCTACTTTGGCAGCCCTCTAGTGGAAATGGAAGCAGTGACCAGCATGTGTTTCTCACCAATATAGGCATGGCTCGTTTTTGCTTTACATTTGAAATCAGAAAACTAAATATTACAGAATATTATTTAGGGGGGAAAGTGGCACCTAATTTTTAGGGTACTCAGACTGCACTCATAAACACACTTACTGGGGAGTTGTCCCCCTGAACACAGTAGGAGTTACTTTCAAGTAAACCATTAGGCCACAATCCTAGGTGCTCTTACTTGGGAATTGGCTTCAGCAGGACTTTCTTCTGCATAATCAGACATGGAATGGGGCTGTCAGTTTAGTAAAGAAGACAGTTTAGCAAAGAACACACAGCAAAACTATGCATTGTTTTAAAACGCACACCACCAATAAAGCTGAAATCATCAGAAATTAAGTTGAACATAAAATCTGTGATAAGTTCCTCTCTTTCCTGAATCACCCAAATGGAAAACAGTATAAAAACCTCACAACAGAGGTTAACTAATCTGACAATTTAATATCACCTCTTCAAGAAAGGGGGAAATAGCCAATACTTTGTTTATTTGCCCTCTGTAGGTTTCTACTGGCTAGTAGTCCTAAAACTATGAGGCAGTTTTATTACAATTCTGACAGGATAGAGCAAAAATCTGACCCATCCCATTATCTCTAGCTGATCGCAATAGCTGGATATTTAAATTACCCCATAGCAAATACTACCTATCCACTCTCAAGGGTCAAACGACACATGATATTTTGTTTTTTAAGTTTTACTTAAACAGTGGGAGCTTGCAGGGAGCAGAAATCTAAACTGGATTATAGCAGCAAGTGGTGGCAGAAAAGGGGTTCAACCTTCTGCCTGCCACTAGTTTCCCCATCTAAATTAGTATGTGGATGGAGCCAGAAACCAGAAGTTGACATGACGTCTATGATACGCAAGCGCAAAAGGAATTTAACTTCTGACAGACAAGGATAGCTTATCCTGGTCTAATCTAAGGTAATAAACAAAAAACACACACACTCACACACCCTTATGACTCTAAGAGGCAGAGGGCAATTATGCCATTTTAACCGCCTGTGTAAACATGTCAGAGAGGAAGTACAAATGGCGGATCACAACGTGATCTCAGACAGCATCACATGATGCAACATAGTGAGATGCCAAAGTCTATCTCTGCCCCTGCACTGTAGAATAAAGAGAAAGCAGAAAACAGAAAGCAGGCAGCAATATACTCAAACTACTCCAAGACCAAATACACCAAATATGCAGCACTGTAGCAGGTGTATCTGTCTGTCAAACTGGAGCAGAATACGTTTTAGACCAGTTTAAAAGAAAACACACACAGAGTATTCCAGAAATGGGCATGGCTTGTGAGAGTAATGCTGGCATGACTACAAGGAAGGTGTCATAATCCCATATGCATAGGATGCCAGATCCCAACATGACCTTTCTAGTTACGGGATGTGAAGTAACAGAGCTGGGGCATCTACTGCCCACAACACAAGAGAGCTGAGTTTGAGGATTTCTGCTTGACAGTATTTTGGTGGGCAAAAATAACATTCACTTCAAGGGACGTAGGGCAGTCTGTCCCCACTATACTTGTGTTTCCGACCATGTGACTGGATTCCACCTGCACTGAGAAATTTCAGAAGGATTTCAGACTAGCCTAGTTGCTTTCTTGTAACTACAACAACGGCCACATGACAACCCTATTTTGAGATGCTATGTTTCCCTATTAGGAGCTACTAGAAAACCCTTTCCAAGCCCCCAAGCAGGTTCCCCCACCCCACCCTCCCACCATGTATCCTTGGTAGGTGTTTGTGACGTGGGGTGTGCTACTACAAATAGAAAGGCTAATTGTTGGTTTACTCCAGAGGGAAGTGGACAACTCCCTATTGGGTGCTCTTCTACTTATACACAGACTGAATGGCTTCAGTCAGGAAGCAGGAAGAGAGTTTCCTTTTAAAAAAAAAACCCAAAAACCCTGAGTTTTGTGCCATGGTTTGTACTTCTATTTCCAACCAAAATTTTTCATCTTAAAGCTTATTTTGAAACTGCAGACATGATCTCATCGATTCATATTAAACTCGGTCCTCTGTCCACCAAAATAGTCCTCTGCCCAGGAAGAGAGAACAATTGAATGAGATAGCACAAGAGATTGCAGTAAGTCACCTTTGCCAGACACGAAGCAGGGAATGAATGACTCAGCAAGGCAAGTCGCCAAATCAACTTGACCCAGAACTTTGTGGCACAAATATAACTTTAAGCCAGCACTGCCGTGTGACAATTACCCCTATGGGGAAGAACCACAGCTCAGTGGCATGGCTGGGAATGCCCCCGTCTCCAACCCTGGAGCGAACACTGCAAGTCACTGTCAGGGAACTGCCATCGGCTCAGGGGCGAGAGGGGAAAAGGCGGATGGATTACAGAGAGCCCCCAAAGATCGTGGGAAGCAGCACTTCCTCAGCAGAGGAAGGAAGCCACGCCTCTAGTGGGGAGGAGATGCAGGGCTCAGGGGATGCAAGGCGGTGCCAGGACACCTTGCCTGAGCAAAGCGGGGAGGAGGGAGGTCCCCCTTTACCCAAGCCGTCCTTGCGCAGTAGCCTTTCACGCAGAGAGGGGAGGCGTTGGCTGGGGGTCAAGAAACTACTCTGCTGGGGAAAGTTTAAGGACCGCCCACTCTCAGATTCTGCTAGTGAGTGAGCAAGACATGGAATAGAGGCGTTCTGCATTGTAAATGTTTTGCACCAATAATAAAGCCTTTGAAAAGACCAGTGAGGGACCTTGCCAGATCGCTCTCGAGCAACCACCCGATACCCTTAACAGTCACTGAAGAAAATGCTAAGATGGACTGATGGTCCAATTTGGTATAAGGCAGCTTCCTATGTTCTTAATTCTAAACTTGAATGAAAAGGTGTCATGATCCCAACTCTTTGAAACGCAAACAAATCATTCATATTCAAGCAAACAGCTGCCTAGTATCAGGAAAATGTGCCTAGTGTGTCTTTTTCTCTACCTGGCTATTCTGGGCAGGGGAAGGGGAACATAAGTGCCAATGAGAGTAATATCAGTGACGGTCCTGTACCTGTGTCAACTTCTGTGGATGCCGGAGAAACAAATGTGCCAGCAGGACTGAGAATCTCATCACTTCTCCCAGTTCTGGGATTCAGCAGAAAACTTTCTGCACTTATGACACATGGTATGTCCAGCAAGCTGCTTTCTCCAGACTGGCAGCTTGACGTCGCTTCGCTTCCTTCCATGGCAAGACCACTGAAACAAAGGCAAGAATTGATTTTGCTCTTTAGATTTATTTTGACAATTCACAGCCCACTTTTTCATTTCAGGATGTTGTGTAGTATTCCACTCCACCCATTAGAAAATAGAAAGGGGGAAATACTCCAGTGCAAGCCTGTTTGCAATGAAGTGACCTGGACATACATACCTGGGTGCAAGCCCCACTGAACTCAGTCGGTCTTCCAATTTTGAGTAAATGTAGAATGAACTGAAAAGCAGCACCCCACTTGCAAACTGGGAGATTTATTATGCTGACTATGGATTTCTTCGCATGGGAACACCACCTTGACATATTTTAGCTTGGAATTGTCTTAAGATACAAAGCTGGTGGTTTTCTCTGTTGGGGGAATACTGTGTATGGTACATTCTGGAAACATGCTATAAAGCACCTGAAGTGGTAAGAGGTCCATAGACAGCACTGAAGTATTTTGTTTCCTTCATGGGAGGGAGAAGAGTATATTGGAAATGCATATTGCCTTTCTGATATTCAGAGGCTCAGCCATGCAGCATATAAAGCCATCCACAGGCTCAGAAGCAGTGCTGACATCATAATTAAAGTAGCCAACAAAGGAGGAGCTGACATCATGATGAGCAAGTTGTGCTACACAGGAGAGGCTAAGAGGCAACTCTCCAGTACTGCGTTTTAGAGGAACCTCTAAGCCAGACATGGCCAAACTTGACCCTCCAGGTGTTTTGGGACTACAATTCCCATCATCCCTGACCACTGGTCCTGTTAGCTGGGGGTGATGGAAGTTGTAGTCCCAAAACATCTGGAAGGCCAAGTTTGGCCATGCCTGCTCTAAGCAGACTCAACTGAGGAACACCAGAAGGGACTACATAACTTCATAAAATAATTCCAAACAGATGTGCAGGACCAAATCTTTAAAGACACAATCCAGCAGCTTCTATTGGATAACTTTCATCCTTAGGGAGCATCTCTTCCTGTATGAGCCTGCCCAGACCATTAGGTCACCACTGGAGGCCCTTCTCTGAGTGCCTCCTCTGGTAGAAAAATGGAGGGTGACTGGACCGAGAGTCTTTTCAGTAGAGGTCCACCTAATACTTACACAACTATCTTTTTGCATCCGGGTCAAGAATCTACTCTCTGGTATTGTGGTTGTCAACTGGTGGTTTGGGCTTTAAAGCACTATGCACCATTTGTTAAAACGCCTGATTACCCATCAAGTTTATCAGGCACAACCACGCTTTGCACAAACTGAGAGCCAAGATCAGAATACGTGTGGCAGCTACTCAAAATAATTTCTTTACCTAACTCCAAAAAGAAAAGAAGGATGAATTATCTGTTCCAGTGGGGTATGAGCGTCTGGAGTAACATCTGGAGGACCACAACTTTTCCAGAAGAGCAATCTCAAAGTAGGAAAAGCCTGTACATGGAAGTATTATGCGCAGCCCTAGTGCAGGCACAAAAATCATGCATGGGAATCATACTGCTGACAGTAGGGAGAATGTATCACAAAAAGTGTGAGAGTGCTTCCTCATAGTTTGAATGCTGGGACGGATAGATGGGTACAAACTATGCTGCCCTAGCAGAGCCCCTTAGAAGAGTGGGAATCAGTGGCCAGAATTTGTGGGGAAAGCCTACACATCAGAAGTAATCTTTCATAACTGTATTATGTCACCCCTGTGTTTGAGAATATACAGACATATGGTTCTACAATGCCAATGACATTCTACCAAGTCGGAGAAGACGACACCCAAGAGCCCTTTTCCAGCACATTGCTATTGTCAAGCAAGTGAGAACAATTTACACAATTAGCTTAGAGAAAGCATTACGCCTGCATGTGTTTTTGTATTTTCAACTGTCTGGTATGGTGAAAAGGGGTTCCAATATTCTCTGTTAGACCCACTCCACCCCTACAAACAAAAATGATTTTAAATAAAGACACAGAGAGAGATCTTTTCTATTGGCTCCAGATTGTGTGTGTGTGTCTGCTTCTACAGAATGCTGTTGAACTTGCCCTTTGCATCACACTTGCTAGTTAACTCCACAGTATCAGTTTTCTGATCAGAACATGATCGGTTTACTTGACCTAGAGAACGGAGGCAAGGTTAATGCTAATAAGAACAGTTTCCGTGTTAGAGAACAGCGACAGGGGTGAGGCAGGAAAAGCAAGTTATTGTCAAATGAAACTTTGGGTGAATACATGGATGCATGAGGTCCCATGTTAAGTTATCAGATTCTTCACTCAAAAGGCTTGACAGCAAAGCCTGAGACCCTCTGAAGAGGTGCTGCCATTCAGATCAGACAATACCAGGCTAGATGTACCAATGGTCACAGTCAGCATAAGGCAGCATGTGCTCATGTGATTTCTCAGGTGTGGGAATTATATTAACAGGTGGTCAGTTTTTTGAGAACATAAACTACAGCCATTTCTCAATGAATATTTTGCCCAGTTCTTGTGTTTCATTGAACTAAACTAAATCAGCACAAAAGCATTGTTTAACTGAGCAATGTTTTTGTGCCAATTCAAAAAAAGCCTACTGTGAACAGCAGTAACCAAATCATCATGGTTTAATCTCATTCACTTGCCTTTTCTACTTCTCTAAAAGGAGAGTAGTAGAAAAGTTAAGCGACACATGAATCAGAAGAAGCAGGGGCAGAAAATGGTCACAAAGCTGATCGGGGATTAGCTGGAAAGCAGCTGATTTCGTGGAAATCTAAGCTGGAGCTAATGTTTTTGAAGAGCTCCTTGTTTCACTCACACCGAAGTGGCGAAGATTGCTCCGACATTTCGACTGTTCTTCCGGGAAACCTGCCAAAGACAAACAGGCTAGCTGCGTGCTCTGACAACACCTGTCACGCAAACAGCCGCCTTCCAAGAAATCCAGTCATGCTCTTTGGAATGAAATAAACAGACGGAGTAAAACTTGACCATCACGGCGCCAAGCACAGCGTGACCTTTCCAAAGCATCTGTGTGCTTCAAGCCCACATATGCCCTAGTGTTTATCAAATCCAGGACAAAGAAGACCATCACCTTCAGGAATAAATCAGTGATATATTGCTTCGTGAAGCGGGCGTTTCCACAGTTCTAATCTGCTGATCAGGCCCTGCGGACTCATAGCATTCCCAGAGTGGAGGAGCAAGGTCAGCTGTTTGTGCTTCATGCTTAAAGCATGGACATCCTGTCCTCCGTAACAGAAATGGCTAACACATCTGATCAACCAGCATTCAACCCTACAAAAAAACGTAACTGTTCTCTGGCTACAAATGCATATATAGTTGAATGGGGCTGGGTCTTCCTCATAGCTGTTGCTGCCCCCCCAATCTAAATTAGTGAGGAGTACAGCAAAGTAAGGACATGTATGAACTAATTAAAATTTGAAGGCTCTGTCTAGACTCACCCGTGCCAGGATCACTGGGGGGGGGGGTGATCCTTAGTGTCATGAGGCCATGCTATTCTTGTCAGAAAGGAAAGTTCTCTTTTATGGTCACCCTTCAATCATGGACAGCTGAACCTGGAAGACAGCAAACACTTACTGATTGTGTACCCTAAACATCTCAGCTGACAGTAATCAAGACACCCAAAGGTTATATGTGCACAAGTATAGCCTCTTCTTGGCACCCATTATATGATTTGTCATAGTCTGAAGACCAAGCACAGAAAAGGACTGCTAAAACAGGAAATTAATATTTTATTGTCATTAGAAGGGCATAAATATGTTCTGCATGCTTGGCTGCAGCAAGGAAATTAAAGGGGGTGCAGTTTTCCAAACCCTTGAAAGCCCTGTGACATGGCAAGCTGCACCTGTGGAGATTCCCCCTACCACAAATCTGTTATATACACAGAATGTTGATACCCTAATGTTGAATTGATGCCTCCCCAGTCAATTGTAAAACTAGATTATTTTCACTCAGCCCAGGCACAACGTTGGCTGCTATAGAAAAGCTCTGCAATATGTATCATATCAATTTAATATTGTTCTAAAGGAGTGATAGTGGTTTGGCTAGAATGACTGCAAATGTCCCTTTCTAAGTCAGCGGCAAAGTTGCCAGGCAGATCTTCCATTGGGGAAGCTGCAGGCAAAATGGTCCAAGAAGGCTTACTGACGAATGGAAAAGTTGGTATCCAGTGGGTGCATGGGATGAGCATAACAATATTACCCTAATGGTTTCTAGGTCTGCTGAAATGACTGTAGCATACCAGCTATAGCAACTCTAGCTAGCCCTAGCTCCCACTAGAGGCAGGCTGCTTGAGCTATAGCAAAATTCAGACTGCAGGTGCAGACTCACATAATGGAATAAACGCTCCTCCATGAACAGCCTCCCCTTTAAATCAAAAACCATATACGTGGAGAAGGGTTGAAGGTTAGTATGGCAGCCTTCTCTCTGACATTCTGGTTTTCTAGGTGCAGGGAGTGTTTTTTGTACAGTACCAACTCCATCTAAACTACAATGGGGTCCATGGTGCCAGATGTAAATCGGGGCAGTATCTGTCAGCACCAGCAAGCTGTGTTAGGAAAGCAAGCAAGCAAGCCCTCTGCCTGGCTTTTCACTCAAAAAAAGGGAGCCCAAGTACCACACAATAACTGGAATTCCTCGCTCTGCAAAGCACAGCCTGCCAACACGCCTTGGTACAAAACTCTTCTTTAAAGCCCTAAACGGCCTCGGTTCAGTATACCTGAAGGAGTGTCTCCACTTTCATCGTTCTGCCCAGACACTGAGGTCCAGCGCCAAGGGCCTTCTGGCGGTTCCCTCGCTGCAAGAAGCCATGTTACAGGGAACCAGGCAGAGGGCCTTCTCGGTAGTGACACCAGCCCTGTGGAACGCCCTCCCACCAGATGTCAAAGAGAAAAATAACTACCAAACTTTTAGAAGACATCTGAAGGCAGCCCTGTTTAGGGAAGCTTTTAATGTTTAATAGGTTATTGTATTTTAGTGTTCTGTTGGAAGCCACCCAGAGTGGCTGGGGAAACCCAGCCAGATGGGCAGAGTATAAATAATAAAATAATAATAATTATTATTATTATTATTATTATTATGTCAGGTGTTCTCATAGCCCATAGAAATAAAATTATATCACTGAAGTTGCTGTTTCTAGCCAACTTTCTCACACACACAAACACGTGTGTTTCAGCCCATGTGATCATAGGCCAACCATGCTGAGAAATTCCGGAGGGATTTCAGACCAGCCCAGTTAATCTCCTGCAACAAAAACAGGCAGCTGACTACCCCGTACTGAGGAGTCATTACATTTGACTAGGAGGATCAGCTGGAAACCCGACGGCTTCCCCTTTCCAAGCCCTCCAAGCGCGCTCCCTCCCCCTGACACGTGTCTGCTTGGTAGATGTGCTTGTCTCACAAGAAACGTGGAGTTCCAGGAGCAAAAAGGCGAGCCTCCGCCGGACCCCCTTCTACTTGACTTACAACGCAGGCTCAGCACCTCCAGCCAGGCAGTTCCTGAAACAGCAGAGGCACGAGAAAACACAGGCAAAAAAAGCAATCGATGTTGGCTGCAGAGCAGTTCATTTGCCTGCAGACCGGATTTCCTGGTGCTTGCTGATGTTTTGTTTTCTCTCTCGTTGGAGTGGCAGCAGCGCATGGTGTTTAGACAGATTACAAATGGTTTTCTAAAAATGTTTTTATTGTTAGTCGCCTCGGGACCTATCACGGGAAACAATGCATAAACTGGGGGGTGGGGCCGGACACACACGTGTCCAAAATAGAAGCAAAAGACAGAAATGTTTTTCCCCTCGGCCTCAGAGCTCCATGTGGTGGTGATTAAGAATGCAAAATAAAAATAAAACTTGTGCAGACGCTTCCTCGTCCTGCTTCTAAACCTGAGAATAAGGCAACACTGCCATCTTTGTTGAGGGCGCGACAAAAAGGAGGTGCAGCGAGAGACGAGGATGAAATTTGTAGTGTCAACCGGTATTATTATTATTATTATTATTATTATAGGAAAACTTGAAGCATAATTTTGCGGGGGAACTGTTGGGGCATGGAGTGGAATTCGAGAAGGAAATCCTTACAGAGTTCATACAGTTAGAAAGCGCTTGGTGGGGGGCTGTGGTTTTTTTTGGGGGGGGGTTCAAAAAATAGAAGCAGAAGCACCAACAACTTGCATTCTGAAGCATGGCATGTGCACAGCAAAATTTACTTTTAGCCTGTTCAGCGGGGCTTTGCACCCCGGGAAATGTGCATCAGATTGCAGAAGCACGCATTGTCTGCTAGTGCAAACAAGCTTTCCGTTCTTTATTATTATTGTGTGTATAATGTAATTTCTTAAGACTGAAATCCAATATTATTATTTTTGTTATTAATCAATAATAATAATAATAATAATAATTTATATTCCGCCCTCCCCAGCCGAAGCCGGGCTCAGAGCGGCTAACAACGGTAAAATAACACAGCATTCTAAAATCAATTCACCATAAAATATAGCCCACCTTTTTCCTCCAAGGAGCTCAAGATGACATACGACAGGAGGGTTATTCTTTTGTTTTATTATGTATTTTGTTTTATTATTTTGTATTTTTATGTTGTGAACCACCCAGTGATCTTCAGAGGAAGGGAGTCATACAAATATAATAAACAATAATAAACAAATAAACGCATGGTTCTCATGCTATACATTATTCCTCACAACCACCCTGTGAGGTGGGTAGGCTGAGAGGCCATGACTAGCCCAAGGTCACCCAGTGAGCTTCATGGCCAAGTGGGGATCTGAACCCTAGTCTCCCAGGTCCAAGTCCAACACTCCAACCACTACACCCCACTGGCTCTACACATGCTAACCTGCGAACAAGCACCATTGAACTGGATGGGACTTCTGAGTCGATGTACACAGGATTGTGTTAAACTCGCAATCCTATGTGTGTGTACGCTCGGGAAATCCTATTATGAGCTACCATGAGTGTCTTTAGACAGAAAGGCAGGATAAAAATATTTTAAATATGTAAGTACAGAAACTGAAGGAGGAAATGGTATGGAATAGAGTCACAGGAAACTGACAAGTTCCAATAATAATAGCTACAGACAAGCTTGGATAAATAGACCCGGTTGCTAGGTTTCAGCAGCATATCAGATATACAAGACCATTTCCGTAGAACTAAAGTATTTGGGGCCACCTAGGCTAAAATTCTACAAGGAAGGCTCAAGCAGTATGTGGACCGAGAACTCCCAGAAGTGCAAGCTGGATTTAGAAGAGGCAGAGGAACCAGAGACCGTTACAAACATAGCTGGATTATGGAGAAGCTAGAAGTTCAGAAGGCATCTACTTCTACTTCTATTGACTATGCAAAAGCCTTGGCTAGCCGACCACAGCAAACTATGTGAATTCTTAAAGAAATGGGGTGCCACAGTCTCATCTGTCTCCTGAAATTCTATGTGTGGGACAGAAGCTACAGTTAGAACTGGATGTAAGACAACTGATTGGTTCAAAATTGGGAAGAGAGATGCAGCAAGGCTGTATATTGTCTCCCTGCTTATTAGCCCTTATATGCAGAAATTTCATCATGCGAAAGGCTGGGCTGGATGAATCTGCGAATTAGATTGTGGGAGAAATATCAACAGCCTCAGATAGCCAGATGACACAACTGTGATGGCAGAAAGTGGGGAGGGTAAAAGACCTTTTATTGAGGTGAAAGAGGAGAAGCGCAATGTAGGTGAAACCAACATCAAAAAGGCAAGATCAGCCACTGGGCCATGACACCTCCTGGCAAATAGAAGGGGAAGAAATGGAGACAGTGAGAGTTTTTACTTTCTTGGGCTCCATGATCCTGCAGATGGTGACAGCAGTCACGAAATTAAAAGCGCCTGCTCCTTGGGAGAAAGGCGATGGCAAACAGACAAACATCTTAAAAAACAGAGACATCCCTTGCTGGCAGGTCCGTATAGTAAAAGCCGCATGGTTTTCCCAGTAGATGTATGAAGTGAGAGCTGGACCATGAAAGGCTGGTCGCGGGGTGGTCTTTTAATTCTGGTGCTGGAGGAGACTCTTGAGAGTCCCATGGACTGCAAGAGATCAAACCTCTCCATTCTGAAGGAATCTGACCTGAGTGCTCACTGGAAGGACAGATCCTGAGCTGAGGCTCCATGCACAGCCACCTCATGAGAAAGCTCCCTGGAAGGGTACAGTGTTGGAAGATGGAGGCACAAGGAGGGGACGGCAGAGAATGGGATGGTTTGGATGAGTGTGACCAGCATGGGTTTGATCAAAGCTGTAGGAGGCAGTGGAGGACAGAGGTGCCTGAAGTCAACTCTGTCCATGGAGTCCTGAAGAGTCGGACACGACTAAACGACTAAACAACAAACAACAAGGACATTTCAAACCGGCAACAACGGAAGAAAAAGAAAAAGTTTGTTTTTATTTTATTTATTAAATTTGTATACTGCCCTCCATCCCAAGATCACAGGGTGGTTCGCAACATAAAAATACAGTATAA